CCTTTGGTACCTGCCCACTATTCAAGGACTGACACAAAATAGTAGCAAGTGGCTCACATATCCAATCTTTAACCTCCTTCAAAACCCTTGGAGAAATATTATCTGGCCCAGGTGCCTTATCATTTCTTAATCTTCCCAATTTTTTCCTAACTAGCTCTGAATTAATGCAATCATCTTGTTTGATCTCGTTCATTGATCAACTGATCAAGATGTAGAATACTGCTTAAATCTTCATTAGTATAAACGGAAGAAAAAGCAAAATTTAATAACCCAGCCATCTCATAATCATCAGATACAAGCCTTCCTTTATCATCCCTCAAGGAACTTATCACTATCCTAACATTTTGTTTACCTTTAATGTATACAAAGAAATCTTTACTGTTAATTTTCACATTTTCAGCCAACCTTTTGTCATACGTCCTTTTTGATGACCTAATTTCCTGTTTCACCAACTTTCTTCATCTTCTATAATCTTCTAAATCTCCTGTCACACCAGTCAATTTAAATTGCTTAAATTTATTATGTTACTCTTTAATTTTATCTCGTAAACTCTTTGTGAGCCAACTTGGTTTTTACCCTTTTCTTTCTATAAGGAATATGTTTACCTTGAACATTTGAAAATTTATCTTTAAAACTTTTTCACATCTGATCAGTGTCTCCAAGTAACTCAGCTGCCCAATTCACAACAGATAACTCTTGTCACATCCCTTCAAAATTTGCTTTTTTCAAATTTGTAACCAAAATATCATTATTCCTTATCTCCATATGCAGCAAAACACTGAACTTAAAAGAGCAATGATCACTTGCACCTAGATGTTCCCCAATTTCCACCCTCTCGATCATTTCTATATTTGAAGTTAACAATAAATCTAAAATACCATTGTTTCTAGTAACTTCCTTGACTAATTGGTGAAGATAGCCAAAATCTAAAATACCATTGTTTCTATTAAGTTCCTTGACTAATTGGTGAAGATAGCCATCCTAAACAGTTTCCAAAATCTTTCTACCTCATGGTTTGATTCTAGAATCTCCCAATCTATATGCCTGAAATTAAAATTACCCATAATTATTTGTGACTTCATTAACAGCTGAAATCTTAATCTCATTGTAAAGTTTCTCCCTAATTTCATCAGTATCATTTGGTGATCTGTAACAAATTCCCACTAAAAGCCTTTTCCCTTTATATCCCCTAATAGAAACCAAAACAGATTCAATCTCTTTGCTGATATCAAAGGATATCAGCTTCAACAGGATGTAACTCACTCTTTAATACTCTCTCCCTATTAAATAGCCTGTAAATCTGTATTTCAAAAAAATTCTGTCATCAAAATCATCTATGTTTAACCATGTTTCACTTATTCCCATTATATCAAAATCCTCCATTCCTACCAGTACTCTAAGGTCATCTATTTTATTTCTTATACTTCTAGCATTACAATAGTAAAAATTAGGTCTATCCTTATAACTACTTCTATACTCACTTCCTGTGCTAAACTTTTCTCTACCTCTTATTCTTTTTTGCATTTAGTTTTCCTGGTCCTCACCACTGTCTAGTCCTAGATTAAAACTTCCCTTGCAGTTGAGTTAGTAGCCTTAGCAAACAAGTCAGCCTCACCCTATTTAAATGTAAACCAACCATTCCAAAAAACTCCCTTCTCCCACTGAACTGATCCCACAAGTCTAACCAGCCAATCTGTTCATCCTTATATACTATCCTAAGCCTAGCATTTAGCCCTAATGACCTACTTATAACTTCATCCCAACAGTTAATTATGGGCAGTATCCCTGACAAAATTAAGTTATGGCCATTTTCTTTAAGTGCTTTTATCAACCCCTTATATTTATTAATTAGCTCTTCTGACCTACCTTTCCCTACATCATCAGCCCCTATATGGACTACAAAAACTGCATCTCTACTATCCCTCTGTGTTATATCTCTTGCTCCATCAGTTATA